GTCTCTGATTCCTGTATATTATTAATATTAGTGGGAGTCGTTTCAATTCTGTTAACGTATTGTAATTTCAGATTTTCCGTTTCTTCTAGTTTCATCGTGATTTCTGCTTGTTCTAATTTGTCTACTAGTTTTCGAAAATCTAAATCGGGTTCTCGAATTGAAGAAGGATGGGATGCTCTCTTTTTTATTGCTATTTTCCTTAATTGTGGTGTTAAGGTCATCATTAAGATTTCTGTCATCTTTGTGTTTTTATAGTCGTGTGTATTTAGTGAATATGCTTTTCGAACTAGTGTTTCGATTCGTACTGCTAATTGCTTGATGGTTTCGTTTGGTAATCTGCGAATTTCATTACATAAAACTCTTTGTTGTTGTTTGTTTCTTTCGGAGTCAAACATTTTTGAAAATTCCTGTGTAAACCTTTTCCAGTTTGATTTTATTTCTAGAGGTAGTACTGAAAACCATTTTTGGGCTGCGCCATCTAAGGTTGTTTGTATTAACGCTGTGCGTCGATGTATCCAGTTTTGATGTAGTGGCGTATTAATTGGTTCAGGTCCAATATTTAAAATCAGGTTTGCTGTTACTGCATTTAAATAATCTTCTACAGAGTATTCAGGGTCTGTTCCTGTGAAAACCATTAAAGGTTTGTTTGATGTTATTGATGATCCACCCATAAGGTATGGATTCATTGTCATTTGTAATGATTCTGCTGCATTTGGCATTTGAGAAAAATTTGAAAGTTGGTTTCTTGTTATTTCATGTTGTTGGAGATAATATGGGAGTGGTATTTCATTTTGCATTTGTGATGGTTGATACGAGTGTGCAGTCATTGGATTTTGTTGTTGAATTGGATGAAAAGATTGTGTATTAATTAGATTTTGTTGTTGAATTGGTTGTTGATGTTGTGCATCTATTGGTTGTGGAGAAAAATTTCTATGATTTGTACGTGTTTTCTGTATTTCTTGTCTACGATATTCTTGAGTATTTGGTGCAAATATATCTGGTTGTAAGAAATCATCATCTGAGGATAAATAATCCATTTGATAAGATGTCTGTTTTTTATTTTTATTTTGTTGAAAAAATGGGTAATTTTCACTGTGATCCTGTGGAGGATTTGTTTGGAAATTTATTGAATTAGGTTGGGTCATTGGGTTATCCCAATTTCGAGATCTTGTATATTGGTTAAAATTTCTTTGTGGTTGATTATATGTTTTTGATGGATGTGTATAATTATAATTATGGTCTGTAAAGTTGTTTCTAGTGAATGTTTTGCGTGTTTTTGATGGTATTGTCATGGGTCTGTATGTTTGGTAATCCATATGTGAATATTTAGGGGCAACCGAAGGTTTAACGGTTGATTGTAAGGTTACCTGTGTTTGTGAAGGATTTGTATTTCTTGGTGTTGTTAAATTTGGGCGTATTGGTGAAATACTTTGTTGTGTAGTTGTTGTGTGTACAATTTCTTCATTTATGAAGTGTGATGGTGTCTGGATATCTTGTTGAGTAAGATTCCTAGTTCCATTGAGGTTTTCATTGTGTATGACTGTAGAGTTTAAACTATTATTTTGTGTATCGGGCAAAAATGTATTATAGTTTAATGGTGTTGCATCAATGGTTAATGGTATTACTCTTACATAATCTCTTATGTAAGATATCGTACTTATTGCTTGACTTGAGATTGATTGTGGGAAGCTTATAAATGCGGGATGAGACCATTCGGGGTCCCAAACATAATCTGATTGTTCTGTGATAGCGGTATCATCGTTCGAGTTTTGGGGTCTAAAATTTTTTCTTGCTTGTGCAATTAAATCAATATTGTGTGTGAAATAATCTATTATGAACCATGCCAAAATTTTTTGTAGATCGTGTTTTGTATGTTGCGAAACGTCGTCTTTCGTGAAATTTTCTTTAATGATGTTTAAATAACTAGAGAGTAGTGTGATTTCATGTCGTACTCTTAAATGTTTAGATGTTTCTGTCGGTGAGACATTTGTTATTGGGATTTCATTTTCTAATATCGAAATATAACTATATATTATTGCGAAAACTTCATTGGTGAATATGGAGTTTGCTCTTTGTGAGTTATGATATTGGATGCTTTTTATATATTCTGAAAAAACTTTTGAAAATTCTAAATCAAGATCGTCTGTTTGAATTGTATATTTTCTATGATTATGGTTTGGTGAGGTGAATTCTATGGAGTAGATTCCATACTGTTGTGTTATGTTGCATATATCTTTTAAGTAGTGGTCTATGATTTGTCTTTTGATTTTTACATCTGGGAACTCTGTTTTACATGGACTGATTCCGGGTTCAAATAAATTTAATAGTAAATTTTTGCAAAATATATGCTGTCCTCTATCAGTGGTTGCATCTACTATAAAAGGAAAGATTTCATCATCATCTGGGGTTTCGTCACCTGGGGTGTGCGTTGAGCTCATTTTTTCGTTCGATGACTGTTAATATGTAATTATTAATGTGTCGAATTGGTTGATTCCAATTGTATAAATGTACTGGTTTGTGTTTATACTGATTTTTTATTCTTCTTTTTCCTCTTTTTGATGAATTTGAAGTTGTTTCTGAGTCAGAAAAATATAATTGATCGTGAAGTGGGCAATTTTTATCTATTGATTCTTTTAGTTTGTAAAGTTCGTCTAAATTGTTGGTTTCTGATTCTGAAAATGCGTTTCGATTTTTTGAAAATCTTTTTCGTGTTATTTGTCTTTGTTTCGTTATTATTTTTCTTTTTAGTGTTTGTCGTTTTGTTCGAATGTATCCAACTGTTTGTGTATGAGGTGTGATTACAAGGTCGTATTTTTTGTTATCTATTTCACAATTGTGTAAAACGATTGTTTGTTTATTTCCTAGGTTTTTAAATGACATAAGGTTTAGGATGACGCATGCAAAAGGTTGTTAAATGATTTCTATTTTCCTAAACTGTTAGTTCTTACGATTTTTTGGTTAGCTTAACCTGGGTCTATTTGTTCAGGGTTGGAGAGAAAAGTATATCGATTCCGAAGAATGATTTTTTACTTTCTCGTGGCTAGTATAAGTTAAGGTGTTAACTTACTTAATCTTACTTAGGGGTAGTGATTGTGTTCAAGGGTTGGAGAATAGTAAATCGATCCACAAGGTTCAGGTATAATTAGAACGCGAGTAGTTCGTTAGATACTATTTTAAACTTACTAAGTCTAAGATTTATCCTGGGTCTGGTAAGAGGGGGGGTCAAGTGAAGGATGAATAACCGAAGTTCTTCACTGCTTATCCTATTTTGAATGATTAGTTTTGTTTAAAAATTTCTATTAGTCTTAGGTCTTTAGAAAGGGTTGGGTAGTGAATCGACGTTTGAGGTCGTTAGACACTAATTAAGTGGGTGGGGGAGAACAAAGTTGTTCTGTTTGATCCAAGGATAAGCCTTGATGATCAAATTTGAAATTTAATTAAGTAGAAAATGATTTAAGATCCAAGGATAAGCCTTGATGATCTGGTTTTAAAATTAAGTGAATTTAAGTTTTAATAAAATTTTAAATGTGTGTAAAGGAAAGATTTAGTGTTTTGATGATATTAGTGGGTTTATGATTGCTGTTATGTTTTAGGTGATGGAGCTGGAACAACAGGATGATTTATGATTACTAACCATTTATTGTCATGCTACTAATTTTTATTTTTTATTTTTCAATAAATATTTTTCAAACATGTTTTGTATATTACTGCAGAGTTTTAGGAAAACGATCTTAGATCTTTTTATCAATCGTTATTGTATATTATTAATTTTGTTTAGCGCCTGTAATGATTTTGAGGATTAACTTCAAGGTTTTATGTTTGCAAATGAAAATCTAAATTCATTGCCAGTAGTATTCTAAATATAAAAGTTTGTTCTGGTTTTTGCCTAACTATCATATAGCTATATGGCAAGTTTCTACTTTGTCGTATGTCGTCTCTGGTTCGAGGTCTTCTTCCAATTCCGGGTAGTTCTGTTATGGTTCGGAATATTGGCTCTGATCTATTGAGTCGTAGAGACATTTCGATTAAATTATTGTCGTATAACATTTTGTAAATGTTTTTGTCTAATTTCTAATCTATTATTGGTTAATGCTAAGCTATTAAGGTCTTGTTCGAGACTTATGGTCGCACCAGATGAGTTAGGACTGGAGTGTATAACTCATAGAGTAATTTCGGATAGGGTACACCGTCTGCTCGTCACGCTATCTTATTTTCGGCCGGATAGATTCGTGCAACTTCTTAGTCTAATACCGATCCTAATCTTACTCTTATACTATCTAGTCTCAGGTTGTTTAACTAGTCTCTGCTAGGCTCAATAGATCTAGGGTATACTGGTTTATTGCGGCTGCTGAAGTGCTCGGGAGAGTCCAACTAATTTCTAAGTTAAATTCAAATCTCTCTGGTGCTGAAATTACAAGTAACTTCAGCACTTACAAATAAGTGGGTTGTTAGTTAGATGGATCATGATTGGTTAATATTAAATACTTTACATTGGTAAAATATCTAATTTATCCAATCATAAAATGTAGTTTAGATCAGGTTCCAGTATCTTACAACTTTCTTATAAGAAAAAGATCTTGTAACATTCTTAGAGCCTAATCTTGTAAGAAGTTGTAAAATTTTTTCCGCAAATGAAGAGCTTCATGAAATTGTAGCCAATTTGCTCCTTCTGCAGCTAAGTTCGTGGGAAAATTAGCTCTCTCCATTCCTATGCTTCTTCTACTCTCCTGGCAACTTACTTCTTTTGTTTTTCTCTGTCTTTCACGACAACCAAAACAGCACTCACATAATTTACGATGCATCCTCGCTAGCACAACTGGGATTAACAGAGGCAACCATTACTTTACACAATCAAGGAGGACTGAAGCAATTTTACAGAAGCAAAAGACACTTAGCCTAAATGTTTTCCGGTGTAAATTAAAAGCTAAGAAAACCATATCAAAATATCTTTTGATTTAAAATGAACGAAATTGATGAATTAGTGGGCGCTGGAGTCTAAGAAATCGTGAGCGATGAAGTCAATGAAGTTGTTCATGACGTAGTTAATGATGTTGTCGAAGAAGTCGTCGACGACGAAGTTGTTGATGACGTGATCGACGAAGTCGTGGGTGAAGAAGTTGAAGAGGATATTGATGACGTAGTTAAAGAAGTCGTTGGTGAAGAAGTTGATGAAGTCGTAGGCGATGAAGTCGATGAAGTTATTGATGACGTAATCGACGAAGTCGAGGGCGAAGAAGTCGATGATGTAGTAGATGATGTTGTCGATGAAGTCGTCGGCGACGAAGTCGATGAAGTTGTTGATGACGTAATCGACGAAGTCGTGGGTGAAGAAGTTGAAGAGGTTATTGATGACGTAGTTGAAGAAGTCGTTGGCGAAGAAGTTGATGAAGTAGTTGATGAAGTAGTTGATGACGTTGTCGATGATGTAGTCGATGATGTTGTAGATGACGTGATCGAAGAAGTCGTCGATGACGTAGTCGAAGAAGTTGTTGATGACGTAGTCGAAGATGTCGTTGATGACGTAGTCGAAGAAGTGGTCGATGACGTAGTCGAAGAAGTCGTCGATGACGTAGTTGATGACGTTGTAGATGATGTTGTTGAGGAAGTTGTAGAAGATGTAGTTCCGGATGTCGGTAGCGAACTATACTCCAGGTCGCATCCTCTGGAATTGGCAATCAATCTTAAGTCATCTTCTTCAGTGTAAATTGCCGTGTTGCAGTTATCTTCTAGAAACGTGTCTGGTACAATGTATGTGCCACTTCGGGATGCAATTTCATACAAATCCTCCATCATCTGCTGGTTTCCAGTATCCAAGAAGTCGCACTCCCTTCAACGATATTAGTAAAATTACTGCATATATGCTTAACGGAGACCAGCCTACTAGCATGCGTGCCGATTAGCACTGTCTTCTGCCTCCCTGAGGTGGGACCAGTTACTGCGAAATGGATGACAACACTGGCCCCCGCAGTTGGCACGTTAAAATACTGAAACGTGTTTACTGCTAGCAAAAAATCGGGTAAAGAACAATCGGTTAGAGCAGTTTGTATTGGTTAAGCAGCCAAAAGTATACAGGTCTAATGCCAACCAGAATCGAGATTAAAAACGAACGCACGCAAGAATAACAATTAAGACTGCTCGTATCATGGCGAAGCCCTGAACGTTCCGACTATTCCCAACAACTGGTCTCGAATAGTTTTTCGTAATGAAGTTTTGACAAACTATGGAATGTTCCAATTGTCCAAAACCTGGTTTTGAATAGTTTTTGGTTAAGAAAATCTTGACAAACTATGTATTTTAAGCTGAAAATTAAGAATCGTGTATGGAATTAATAAGACCAATTAGCCTTCCTTAATTGAATTTGGAACGATTTTGTGTAAACGCGTAAGTAATGCGCCTAAAACTTTCTGCATCAAAGTTTTACAGCGCTCTTATAGTCACGTTGGTCTATTAGTGAGCGTTTCACATCAATGTTCTAGTCAGGAAAGCATAGTGGTGAGCGCAACCCTTGTGGGACGCGAAGATTCATGGATTGAGCCCTCGAGAGAAATATTTTTCGAAATTGGTCTGAATAAAAACACCACGCCGAAATCGCATTACGCCACGTGTAAGTAATGCGCGTTACACTTTCAGCATCAAAGTATAAAACGAGCACTTTAGTTAGACTCGTTTCATAGCATACGTAAAAAGAGGCCAGTATCATGATGAGCGCAACCACCCTTCTACTAACACGAAGATGAAAGGATCGATCCAATGAAATAAAAAAGTCTTTTATGATTGGTCTGAAAAAAAAACCACCTCAAGGATATATATTTTTTCTTCACAATTTTTGCCAATTTTTTCAGCGTTTTTTCTCATCTTGGCCTGGTTGGTTGATGATGTGTCTACTTACAATGTCTGCTTTTTGACAGCACGCCATATGTATTGAGTCCCAATTGAACGCACATAACAATGGAATTGCTGCATGCTAATCCATACGCATGCAGCTAAAAAGCAGGTTATTTTGTTGAGGTTTTTTTATATTTACTGAATTCAGCATATATGCTTCATTATCTAGCCGTATGACTCCACACACAAAATTTTTTCAAAAACCTTCTAAGGTCCATCTATATGTTAAGGGAAAACTAAGATGTTAGTTCTTTTTGAGAAACACTGAGGAATTTTTTTGGCAAATAAAACGTTATCTAAGCTTTTATTTTTAAATTTTGATGTAGTCAATTGTTGCTCTTCTAATTTGTTCTTATGTTTTTGATTTAATTAAAATCCTCCAGAAGTCGAACAAATTTAATGCTTAGGATCAGGGCAGATCTAGGATTTTCTCGAGGGGAGGGGGGCTTCTTTTCAAAAAAATTTCGAAAATTTTAACGACCTTTTTTTTAGGTCGAACAAATTGATTTTCCGAGCACTCCTAAAGCAGTAAAAAGATCCTGTTTGGGCCAAATTTTCTAAGCCGCAGGCAAACTTTAAAAAAAAACAGGTAAAAAAAGCCGTTTTTGGGCACTTTTTGGAAAAATTTGACAAAAAATTGCGTTTTTTGGCGCGCGCTCCCCCTCAAGGTTAGTGTATATTGGCGCCGAAGACGCCTTTAGAAAAATTTTAGGGTCGGTCGGCAAAAAATGGATTTCTTAAAAAGTACCAAAGGGGGACCCTTTGGGTTGGCTGGGGGTCGAATCCCTGAGAGGAAGGCGTCCCCCCCTAAATCCGCCTCTAATTAGGATTCTTTCAAGCAATAACTCCAACTGAAGTAGTAGAATAGTCAAAAAAAAAGTTGAACGCTATGTTTTTTGGTGGTTAGTCGAAGTGCACCGGTAACAGGTCAGACATGAGTGCACTCAAGCTCATGAATTGAGAACTCACGCAGGGAAAGCAGCCATGTCTGAGTGCAAATCTGTTTGAAGGTTTTTTAGGCCAATGACAATAAATTATGTCGCCAGAAGTTGCGAATAAGTTCAGTTTCCTGCATCGTTGTTCAGAGATTGCAAGCATTATAAGCTTGGTAGGTTTCTTTGCATTATGGATTATTGGATACTTTTTGAGTTCGTAACTTGAATAGCTTTGTTCTTGTACAAATTGTATCGCCCCCAAAAAAAGGTGAAAACATCTGTTAATCAGCCTTCTCTGAATTTGTTTTTTGGTTCTAAGTCGCTTGCGGGTACCAGGAAAAATACGTATAGCAGCAAAAAACAGAACTTCCGTGGTACCCTACCATTTTTCTCATTTTTTAACCTACTAGTGAAAAGTGATATTCAATTATTTGGTTCAAGGAAGCTTATTTGTCATAAATGATTTGTTACAAGTAGCGAAATTTTTTCTTTTGTACTCTATATGGCCTTTGTGGGGGATAATTTTAGCAAAAAATCTCAAATTTTAGAAAAAAAAAATTTTCATTTTGTTTTGTCACATTTAATTTTTTATGTTAATACTGCTCCATAAACCTTAAAAGACAATCAGAACATTCAAGGCTTCACTCTGAATGTTTATAGAGCATGTGGCGATGATTTTTACAAAAAACGGCGTGTGGGGGATGATTTTCACAAAAAAAATATCAAATTTTAGAGGAAAAATATCATTTTACTTTATTAAATTCAATTTTTCTATGTTAATACTGCTGCATAAACCTGAAAAGGCAGTCGGAACATTCAGGGTTTTGCCTTGATACAAGCATTCTTGTTGTTATTTAGCTCATTGACACTGAAAAACTCAAACCAAAAAAATATCTGAAATTTATCTTTCGTCCGTCCCATAAACGCACTAATTCTCGAGAGAGAAAGTTCAATAGTTAAGTTTTCAAACTGAACTAGTGCAATATACAAAAATACAGATACAAATGAAAAATTATTTTTAGGAGTATAAAAATCTGTTTGCATCTGAATTTAAAAAATGAATTTAAATTCGCCTTAAAAAGAAGTTAAAAAAGTTAAAAAGAGATCTTGTAACAAACAGTCGTATCAGCAGAAATGACGGAGAGACGAAGGCGGCTCCGACTGACGAAAACCAAAAAATTGAATCGAACCAAAAACATGTTATAATTTTTTTTGAAACGCTCAAAATTTTTTTATTGTTCTGGTCATTAAAAAGGGGGAGAGACTTCGAATTCGGTTAAGATTGAGTTCTTTCTTTTTCTAATTTTCGTTATTTCTGATTTTTTGTCGGCTTATTCAGGCGCAAACGGCTTATTTATGCTTAAGTTAAGCCGTGCAAATTTATTATTACCCTTAAAATTATTTTAAGGAGTTTGCTTGTGCCATTTTGGAAATCAAAATTTGTGCCATTTTGGAAATTGCCATTTTGGAAATCAAATTTTTACGCTTTTTTTCGTTTTTCTTTTCAAATTTACACAAAAACGGTTTTATAATTTGCAAGTTAAAATATTTTGTCGAATATGCCTAGGTCTTAGAAAGTTTTTTTTTGTAGTTATTAGGAGTATGGTCGGAATAATTTGTGCTACGTGCACAGTAATCGGCTATCCTTGTTTTTTTTTAAAAATTGATATAACCTGAAATAGTTTTTATTCCCAGCTGATATATAGTTGTGATATCCCTTAGCTGCGTAGCGTGTTGAGGAACAAAAGTAAGAGAGATACTGTAAATTTACTGTTGTTGATCTTATCTTTTTCTGAAGTTAGGAGCTGAGATTGGTTACTGTTTTTCAGCATGAGATATGATAACTCTGACCAATTCAACCTTAACGTTAAGCAAACATCGAATGACCTTGACCACTTATATAATAATAACGTAATAGATATAGTTAGCACATATGGTTACTGCAGATGCAGTAGTTAGCAAACTGTCCTCAAGGTTGTGTACTACAGATGCTGCAATACCACATTACCCCTGGGACCAAATAAAATTTTATCTAATACGTTTAAAATTTTATAAATAACAATAATATGAGTTTTCAGCTCAGTTTCTTGTGGTGCCATTGTTGCATGACTGTTTTTCCTTTTGAGTTTATTTTAACTATCAGTTTTTCTTCTCTGTTTCTTTTTTCTTGATTTCTAATGGCACTTTCCATTGAGTACTCCATGGCTGTGTCGTTTCCAAGGCGGCATACCCAAATTTTATTCTAAATAAGTGGCGTTCTAGAAGCTTCAAACGGGTCTCCATTGGGTTATTTTTGTCTGTTTTTACATTCGCCAGACCAGATCGGTACTGCTCTAAGGCCATTTCGTTAGTGGCTGCCTCGTCGTCTGCGCAAATATATTTGACCGAGTGTTTCACGGGGCTACCCAATCTTTTAGGCCCCTGACTTTTCGTGGTTCGTTTACTGCGCCTGACATTTGTGCCTCCTTGATCGTCAACCACTGATTCGTCCGAAATTCCTGACGGAGATCCAAGTTCACCTTCATTTTGATCTGCCACCCTGGATTTGGTGATCTCATCCGCTGTCCTTTGCAGACCTCTAGTCAGCACTTGATCGGCTAGGCTTTGCCATTCTTCCTCCTCCATGTCTTGTTTCTGGAACGCATTCAAGATTGAACCAGGTGACGTGTCTCTTGTTATGCGCTTCCTAGAAGGTACACTTTTGGTGCCCGAACTGCCTGCACGATCAGCTTGATCTGCATCTGGTTGTTTTGGATTAATAATTTCTTCTGCTGCTATCGCAGCTTTCTTTTTTTCTTTACCCTTGTTTTTGAGTGTTTGGTCTCTTTTATCTCGTGATTCCCCTATTGGGTTTAGCGCCACCTGTTCTTGTGTCTTGGGGCTT